GGTTGTAATGTATACATGTGTGGATTTTATCTAACTTGCCTTTCAGTGCCTGGACAACTCTGTGTTGAGGGACTATAAAAATAAAGATTGATTGATTGAACTGGTACTGGTACAGTTGAACAAGAGATATATTTGGCCTGGAACTGTTGTCTTTGCGTATATCTGGTCATTTGATTTGTTGGTTGCCCAAGAGTTAGGGTAATGTAGGAGATCCGTAGGGGAGAGAGAACAGTTTGGAATGAGACCTCGGGTCCAGGTTTGGAAGATGCTTCCTAGGATTTGCAACTTTGTCAACAAACACCTGCCAAGATTGCAATAAGATCGGTTTATCTACCTTGGTGAAATGACTGCACTGCATGAAAACGAGCCTGTGGTAGAAATTATAACACTTACAGGTTACTTACAGGGGCTCGAGTGGAGACCAGAAGCTTGCCAAGGAGTACAGATCTGAGAATGGCAGTGGAGAGGAGCTTTTGGCTTGGATGGATCTCTTGACAGCTGCTGCTGAGGGCTGTGCTTGATTTGGAAAAGCAAGTGATGCCTGAAGAGAGCTGTCGATTTAAACACAGAGGCTTCAACTATGCAGCCCAGGCTTGGATTGTGGGCAAGGATCTTTAGAAAGTTTCTCATCAAAGGGATCGTAGAGAAGCAAGTTTTAGGGAGACCATAAGTAAGGGCAGACTGTTCGATTTGGTCCTATGCCGTCGGCTTCAAGGATTTTCCAGCAAAGCTTTTAACCAGGACTTTTCAGGCCATCCTGGTCATATATGAAAACTTGATTTAAAAAAGTTCTGGTTAAGTTCTTTTTTTTCTTTAAATTCCCTGAAGTAAGTCTTAGTTTCTAAAAATTTCTTAATAAAACCCAAAGATAAACAGAACCAATTGGATCTTTTGTCCAACGCCTTAACCTCTAGGCCATCCTGGTAATATATGGCAAATAACTGAAAAGTCCTGGTTAAATTCTTTTTTAAAGTCTTGCACTTTGGTTTTGGTCATTTTGTTTTATAAAGTGTGGAAGGCCTATTCGATTTTCCTTTGTCCTTATTTCTTTGCGTGATGTTTAGCTATAACAGTTGAGGACCAGTAGACTCAGCTGCTGATATACCATTGATGGGTAATTCCTGTGAACTCTGTGTCACTTTGATAAATTTGGTCCTTGGAACATCATTGCATGTATGGTCTGTCCATATTCAGACGTAGAATCCTTTTTGTAGAGATTGAGCTTCATTTTAGGCGATAATGGCGTCGATATTTTCTTAAGCCTTGTGCTTTAGCATGTAGGTCTAGAAAAACGATAAGCTAACCGAAGCAGTGCTTTAACATGCCGCACTGATGCCGTGTGGATCAGGGGAAACACCATCCATCATTGTTGTGCTGGAGCTCATGCATGTTTGGTCAGATGAACTGTTTCACTCTCTAGATCAGACTTCAGATGTATAGGCAGACGTGTAATTTTACATGTCAATAATTCCAGCAGCCACTATATCAGGCCCGGGGGAGGCTGTAATCCATCATGTTCTACAGACACGCTCCTTCATAGATCACAAGGACTTCATCCAGTAAAGGATGTCTGATGGTCTGCAGCTTTCTCAAGTTAGTGTATGTGTGTGTGCGTTTAAACTGTAGAATACTTATAAAAGATTTAGTGTTTGTAATGAAACACCACAAAAAGAATAATATCAGAATAAGAATAAGAACTTTAATTGAAAGAATAATACTCACATTTTTGTCTCAGGCAGCTGTCTTTGAATTAATCCTGAAGCTTGTTAAAATCCATTTACTTTATTTGTTTTTGTGGTAAATTACTGCTGATATACATCTGTATTAGTGCTGTCAAAATAGGTGCATTAAGGTATGAGGTTAATTTGAAATATTTAATGTGTACAAAGATGAATGCAGTTGCAGTATTTTTTGTATTTTGTGTGTGCAAAGACGTATGGATAAGACCTTTTTGTCACAGCCTGTTATAATAATGCCTTTATTTTCCATTTCATAGTTTTCTTCATGTATTTTCTGTCACTTTGGTCATGTGATCAGAGTTTCATCACATGGTCGCTCATTTATTGAAGACATAATAATACAGCATGTATAAACATAAAAACATAAACACAATTAAATGATTAAAACAGCTAACACCAGGTTGAGAAGGAAATAGGAAAGAATTGAAAGGGAGAGGGCAATTATAAGAAATAATAAAATGGTCATTTTAAACATATTCATTACTCTGGAGGTTTTAACTTATTAATTGCACACCTTTTTGGCAATTAATAACTTTTTTAAAATCTAAATGTAAAATCAGGAGAGATTTTAAGAGATTTTTATTTATTTCTTTATATTCAAAATGTTTTTGTTTAACTTGTGACACACATTTTCTCATGTAAATGCAATAAACCATCAACATTCTCCAAATTAACTGTTGTCTTGAAAGCCATATTTACTATAGATTAATGATCACAGTTTATTTATCACAAAAACAAGTAATATAAACACAAAAGGAAACATAAAAGACCCTCGTAGGGAAAATCTGAATAACATAAGACTTCACCAAAGGAGGAGGAATAAGCTAAACTAAATGAATGTATGACCAGGCAGTGATCATGTGACGGCAGGTACATACACTGGGTAAACTATGAAATGGGCAAAAAGGCAGAAAATATAAAATATGTGACAAAAAGTCCTTCTTTGGTCTTAATTGCAAAGTAATCACATGCGTTAATGCAGTATATTTTACACCAAATTAATGCATTTGTATTTAAATGTAAGTAGCAGGCTTTTATTAATGACAATAGTGGAAGCAGTTTAAAGTATCATAGTTTTTATTTTCAAAACTTGATATTAATAATGCTAACACACATAGAATGTGATGTGAGGTATTCTAAAGGTTGGTACATGTCATTTTGAGATGGTGGAGTTAATTAAATTCTGTGGTCAGAATGAGGCTAAACTGTCTTGAACCTGCCACAGCTATTGTTTACTTCCACAAAATCTACTTCCTGGTTCTCAGCTGATAAAGATTAGTCACCTCAGATTGTTGAGCTTCTAACCTGTTTACTCACCTGCGTTCCTGTGCAACCTGGTTCCTACGCAGATTATGACTGGACGGAGAGAATTACCACACGTTTAGTCAATGCTACTCAGACCTGACTGCCTCATAGCTGGAGCCTGACACCAGCTAGGATTTTATTCACGTAAAATTGAAGCCTTTTATGCTTTTAACCCTTGTGCATTGTTCAAATTTACTGCCATTATGTGTGGTTTTGACGAAAGTTTGGACCATAAATTCCGATTGGTGCATGTAAAAAAAAAGGTTTGTTTCCAACTGGTAAACAACTGTTTTGTCACGGAACCAAAGATTGCGGCCTCGGTCTTCTCACTGAACCAACGATCGTGTCTTGGTCTTGTCATGGAACCAACGATTGAAGTATCTTGGTTAATAATCACCTGCACATCTTGCGTTACATGATTCAACAGTTCAACATTTAAGTGTTGAAACATCTACTTTCTTCTGAACTCATCTACAAAAACAACGGGCTGCTTGACCGATAAATAAGATACCTGGTCACATCCAGGACACCAATCCCCTTTATGGCCAGAGCTAGAGTTTAGATTGATGTTTTCTTCTTGAGGATATTGCCAGAACCATTAAACGGATTGTGAGCAACTGCCTGTTGAAAGCATGGCAGAGGAGAATCTAATTATATACCAAACCGTATCTTTGTGAGAGCATTGCCTAGGCGTCCTGGTGCTGGATTAATCATTTCACATTATCACTCGCTCCAGAGCCTGTGCACAGCGCTCTTAGCCATCTGTCTGGACTTACAGAAGGATCTGAGGAAGATCTGCAGCCCTCAGTGATGCATCATGCCTTTTACACCGACACATCAACACTAACACATGATTCATCGCGACTCCGCGTCAAGCATATTGCACTAGCTTGATGAGTCCGTGGATATGGATTCATGTATATGCAGGTGCAGGACAATAGAGCAGCATTGAACAATGGCTGCAGTGTGCAGCTTCAGCAGAACGTGCTCCCTATCAGTCTGCTAACAAGGGTGACGCCTCAGTCTATAAGATTAGTGGGGAAACTAACAGCTCAGCACAGTAAAAATCTATTTATTCTGTCAAAGAGAGCGCTTTGTTCCAAATACAGGGTTCAGGGACACTCACCTGAGAGCTGCAGTGCTCTCATCCTGCCTCTCTATCTCCTTATGTTCTCCTTTTTGTGAACAGACCAACGTCTTTGTGAGAACTTTAAAAGGAAATAAATTTAAAGCTTACTTTAGGAACCTCTGTAATGTTCTGCAAAGGTTCTGTTTGCTAAGTCAACTTTTATAAAATTTGAAAGTACATTGTTTTCTTTAATGGAGGAGGCCATGTCACCAGTGTTCCTTCCTCTAGTTGTTAGATGAGGGGATGCACTAGTGTACTTTGCACCCCAAGAAGATAATTTAACAAAATTTAGCATTTTTAAAACTCGAGTCTCAGTTGGTCTTAAGGTTAGAAGGAGCTTCGAGAAGAGCATTTTCAATTAAACTGTAGTCTTGAAAATTTGTTATGGAACCAACGATTGTGGTCTCTGTCTTGTCACAGAAGCAACGATCGTGGTCTCCATCTTGTCACAAGACCAGTCCAGGCCTTGAACTCGGTACTCTTTGATCTGGGCTGGGTCTTGGTCTCGATACACTCCGGCCTAGACAGGTCTGGGTCAAGGGGGTCTTGACTACAAAACTACTTTATGTAAAATGTAGTGGTCGGATCCCCGCACTCGAGATTTCATAACCACCTTGTTTTTTTAAATTGCTGTGATACTCACTCTGCAATCTTGTTGTTCCACTGGAAGAATGAGAAACCAATAACTATACATAAATGCATGGCTAAACTGTTAAAAATATGTTAAATTGTTTCATAAAAACACCGAATACACAGATTTCCATTTATGAATTGAACACTTTTATCCAAAACAACTTTTCAAGGAATGAACACATGTTGTCAGTTCTTGTTTTCTGTGAGGTTAGAACCCATGACCTTTGGGTTCTTAGCGCAACGCTCTACTGATTGAGCGACAGGAATGCTCCTTTATCAATCAGAACAAGGTGAACCACACTGGAACCAGACATGGTCGCCATGTATGTGCTGCCCAGGAAGAGACATGAGATTGCTGGTGAAAACAGGAGACAGGAAATGGACTTGTAGGGAAGTTGTTAGGTAAAGATAATCACAGGAGCAAGTTCTTCCAGAGATGTGCATTGCACAGAAGGGGTCTGTGTCCAGTGTGCAGTTTAGATTAAGTTTTGAGTAGAAAGGTGAGTATTTTAAAGAGTGGAGCTTCAAGGCAGGTGATTGTCCCTGTCCACTAGGGATGCCACAATATTTCATTTTAAACCGAACCAAAGCGAACGCTACGCCATCCTTGCTTCAATAAACGCTTGCGCTTATTAGTGCAACACACCTGCAAACCACTGTTATCCCCGCCCTTCTGGGAGATTTGTGCTAGAATTACGTACATTTTGGGATGCTGAGAGTGTAAATAAAACAATTTTTTTGTTTAAGGTTCCTATAAAACAGGAAGTGTCAAAATATTTAATTTTCTTGATTTTCTGATTACTTTCCTCAACATCATCAATTCTAATCATCGTCAGAACAATATTTAATTGCTTTATTTTACACTTTTTTTCGTAATGTTTAGCATTTTTTTTACAAATACATCATGCTCTCTTGTTCTACTCTGTGGGTATATCCTTTCTTTTTCTGTCAAGTCACATCCTGTTTTGCTCCTCCTGTGTCTCTGCTTCAGTTTGGATGCAAAAATAATTATTTCCAAAGGGTACGTTGTTTGTTATAAATTCAACTGGCACATAAATGGAGCTCAGCCAATGGAACTCCCACTGGGTCACTGGGTTAAGGCATAAGCAGCCAAACTGTAACCTAGCAATGCAAAAAAAAAAACACAAATGGCTAATACTGTTCCAAATCCAGCTTTTACCTCTTAGCAACCACATAGCAACAACCTGGCCATCAGCCAAACTAATCTAACCCTGTGACTATTCAATGCTTCTTAAAACAAGTTGTTTGTCACTCGGTGCTGCGGATAGCGTGGATTTGATTCATATGACATCTTGTCTTTCAGGTCAGTTGGCGGCAGGAACATGTGAAATCATGACTCTGGACAGAGACAGCAGTCAGCCGAGGAGGACCATCGCCCGGCAGACCGCCAGGTGTGCCTGCAGGAAAGGCCAGATTGCCGGCACCACCAGAGCCAGTCCAGCATGTGTAGATGGTAAGAAGGATGGAGTTGGCATTCGTTGGATATCATTCATCATATAATTTCTGATATGGTCCCTGGAGAAAATCTTGGAAGGAGACGCACTAAACTATGTTTTTCAGCCGTATTATTATTCTCAGATCAATTGTTCCCTAAGTTTTAACTATTAGAATTACTAACTACCGTATTTTTCGGCTCATAAGACGCACCGGCACATAAGACGCACCCAATTTTAAATGAGGAAGATCTAGAAAAAAAAGATTCTGAACCAAATACTTTTATAAAATGTTTTATATCAACTGTGTAAAAGTTAACAGCCAAACATGTAACATGAACAGACAGTAAACAGTAAAAGTAACAAAAAAAGGCTGTAATGTTTTTCTTTGCCCCCACTCATCATTCTAAAGTCCACCATTCATTATCACCATCACTGTTCCAGTGCAACATTGCCCCCACATTAGTAATACCGTAATAGCCAGTAACATTGTCACTACATTACTAATAATAGCCAGTAACATTGTCACTACATTACTAATAATAGCCAGTAATATTGTCACTACATTACTAATAATAGCCAGTAACATTGTCACTACATTACTAATAATAGCCAGTAACATTGTCACTACATTACTAATAATAGCTAGTAACATTGTCACTACTAATAATAGCCAGTAACATTGTCACCACATTACTAATAATAGCTAGTAACATTGCCCCCACATTACATTACTAATAGCCAGTAACATTGTCACTACATTACTAATAATAGCCAGTAACATTGTCACAACATTACTATTAATAGCCAGTAACATTGTCACTACATTACTAATAATAGCCAGTAACATTGTCACTACATTACTAATAATAGCCAGTAACATTGTCACTACATTACTAATAATAGCTAGTAACATTGTCACTAC